GTATGGCTAAACCAAAGCTGCTTTGTTTTGGATCACACTACCCTGCTTGTCAAGACATGCCTTACTCTGCAAAACAGTTATTTAGTGCCAAGAAAGCACTAAGCTGTTGAAAAACAGCCTTTTCAATGATTTTACTTAAAAATGGGAGATTTGATATGGGCCTATAATTGCTCATTAGTGACCTGTCTAGATGACTCTTTATTAAGAGTGGCTTAATAATTGCAGTTTTCAGGGCCTGTGGGGAAAAAACCTGAGAGGAGAGACATGTTGACAATTTGTAGTAGATCTGAGGCCATGCATTTAGAAACATTTTTGAAAAAACCTGTTTGCAAAATATCAAGGCAGCATGAGGAGGATTTCAGATGTTGTATTATGTCCTCCAGGTGCTAGGTTCATGCTATATAAATTGTTTTTGAGTGGACATAGGGACAAGACATATCCTGTTACTGGCATGGAGGCACTGATTGCTTGTCCAATTGTTTGAATTTTTTCTGTGAAGAAGGAGGCAAATTCATTGCAGGCCCTGGTGGATAGAAGGTCAGAGGCTACAGACACAGGAGGGTTGGTTAGCCTGTCGACAGTAGCAAACAGGGCACGTGCATTATTAGTGTTTTTGGTGATGATGTCAGAGAAGAAGGAACGCCTTGCATTTCTCAGCTCTAAATTATAAATGCAAAGTCTCTCTTTATAGATGTCATAATGAACCTGGAGATTTGTTTTCCGCCACCTGCGTTCAGGTTTTCGACACTCTCTTTTTTGAGTTCTATACCAGCGAGACCACCTTCACCTTGGCTGGTGCAATGGCATCAATAACATTTGTAATTTTAGAACTGAAATTATCTACAAGCTCATTCACTGAGACCTGTGAGAGGGCAGGTGTCGAGGAGAAAGCCTCAATAAATTTTTCACTAGTGTTTTCAGTGATATGCCGTTTTGTGATTACCGCTGTTTGTACATTTGTGTGAACGCAGATAGCACTCTCAAAGAAAACACAGGAATGATTAGAGAGAGCACCAGTCACCACAACCTTGGAAATGTCCAGACCCTTGGAGATGACTAAGTCCAAAGTGTGCCCCTTATTGTGTGTGGGATCCGTTAAACATATTGGGTCAGTCCATAATTATCAAGAACACAACACAGTTCTTTAGTTCCTCTCTCCTGGGGGTTGTCAACATGGATGTTAAAATCACCAACATTAACTACACAGTCAAAGTCAATACAGATTATAGACAGCAGTTCACCAAAGTCATCAAAAATGTTTGCACAGTATTTAGGGGGCCTGTAGATATTTAGAAAGATAGCTCAAGAAGAGGAATTCAGCTGAAGAGCCACATGTTCAATAGAAGCAAAATTCCCATAAGACATCTTTTTGCATTGGAGGGAGTCATTAAACAAAATGGCAACTCCACCTCCTCTCTTATGCACTATAGCTTCACTCATGAAACTGAAGCTGGGAGGGGTAGACTCGATAAGGACAGCTGCACTGTTATCTTGGTCCAACCAAGTTTCAGTTAAAAACATGAAATTAAGATTGTGAGTTATTATAAAATCATTGATTAAAAATGTTTTTCCTGCCAAAGACCTAACGTTTAACAAAGCTAATTTTAGTGTGTTAAAAACATTATCTGGCCCACTTTTTTCGACATGCTGCGGCTGACAAGGAATTAATACAAAATTTGCAGGATATGTTGAGTGCTTCCTGTTTCTTAACACATTCACCATGCCTTTTCTGTTACCTATCAAGACAGGGATGGAGAAGACTACCAGCACACTGTGCCCCGGCTTGTCCTGGGAAGAGTCATGAGTGCTATTTTCCTTGTAGCCTGGACCCAGCACATATCAGACAGAGCTTACTGGGCTTTTTCTCCATTGCGGAGCGGGAGGGCGGGTTGTGCGCTGTATTTGTGACACGTGTCAAACCTGGAGGACTTAGAACCAGTGGTGGAGGTGGACGGTGAGGGGGGTTTATGGTAGAGAAAATGGGAGTGGAGCGAGGGAAGGTGCGGGGAGTAAATCTTGTCCCAGCTCTAACCAGGTCTTCCATTTGATCAGTGAAGTCCAACAGGGGGGAGAGGGGAGAAAGGGTGTCTGGAGATAAGGGTGACCTAGATGGGGATTGGGGGTGTAGAGATGGTGAATCCTTACTGCTAGTTGTCAGTGAGGGAGGTGGAGGCTCTTCCTCTTGGCTTAGTTATCTCCCGTGATCAGAGCTCTCTTCCGGCGGGGGCTGAGGTGGCTCTCCTTCAAGGTTTCTGGCGTGTTGTGTTATGTCTTCTTCTTGTTTTGATTCCTCTTGGCTCTTGTCCTTGACAGGGGGAACAGACGAGTGATGCAGAAAGTAAAACAGGTTGGACCTGAACAATTTTACTCCTGACTTGTTAAGGCAAAGTCCATCTGCCTTAAAAAGATGTCTGTGGTCCCACAGAAAGTAAAAGTTTTCGATGAAATGCACTGAATGGACAGTACATGCCATTGAGAGCCACGTGTTCAATGCCATCAATCTGCTGAATCTCTCAGCTCCTCTTCGGATTGGCGGTATAGGGCCACCGATAAACACCTCAGCATTCAAAGAGCTGACTGTGTTCAACAGATTATTAAAGTCCTCTTTCAACACTTGCTTCACAACATCATTGGTCCCGATGTGCAGTAGGATGTTCAGCCACGATATGCAGGATTCTTTTTGCCAAGTCAGACACCATATCCTTCTGAAAGCAGAGTATTTTGGTGTTCTTACAGCACATGCTTCTTATATCGTTAACAGCAGAGTCACCCACAATCAGAGTTTGAGGCCCAGTCGTTAGCTTTCCCTGCAGCCTTTTACTTTCGGATTTACTCTCAGTCCTTACCCTTCTGTGTGAGGACGGGAGGTTATCCAGGTCATCAGACGGAGATCCAGGGTCCTGCCATAGTGGTGAAAATCTGTTCTGCTGTTGCACACTCGGTTGTTGGGGAGGTTTGTTGCTAACTCTCCCTTTCGCAGCTGTCCACGGCTGTGTCCTACCAAGAACAGGGGTTGAAGAGGCGCTCTGCCTGGATGATAATGCAGGCCAGCCAGTCATATCACAAATCTCAGGGCGCTGGGTTCTACCTGATACTCGTCCTCCCATTTCCCCAGGAAATGATTTACTCTTAGGCTTTGCACCAAGAGCGTTCCAGGGAGGACTCCCACTTTCAGATTTATTACCCAGTACACAGGCCTCCTGCTTCTTGGTAGTCTTTTTGGTGCTAATTACCCTTGTGTTAGCATGCTCTTGTCCACTGTTTTGGGTCCACGGTAAAGTGGTGTCATTCCCACATAGTCCATTCACTTCTAACCTGTGGATCTTGGTTTCCAGCACTGCAATTTTCTGTAGAAGTTTGTAGAAGTCGTCCGTGGAGAAGGGGGGCATCTTGTTGCTAATTAGCGTTAGCTATAACTCCAGTCACTGCAGTACAGGCTAGTGCTATTGATAGGCCGTACTTGCGTAGCACTAAGATCATAAAAGTTTTTAAAGTATGGCAAGAGCCTACTTTATCTGACAGTCCCAGTGATTTAAAAGTATCCAAGAGAAATCTGCTGATTTCTAGCAGAAAAAAAGACAGTTTAAGCAAAAGAATGCAAGCAGAGGCAAGAGCAAGCAGCAAAGCGTCTGCACTGTAAGAAAGCAGGAAGCAAAACTCATGAACAGTAACCACTGTTTTTTGGTTTAGCTGGATATTGTGTATTTGGAGGTTAAAGGAATGTTACACTAAAAGCTGTGCTTTGAATATCAAACGCAGGCTTGAAAGGTGCCTTTGCAGAGGATGGCAGGTGTAGTTGGCTTGAATTCATCGCTTTTACAATGGATTCCAACGGCGACCCAGTTTCTAGATGAAAAGGTTCATGGAAGCGTTTCATGCCACTCTTTCAACATAATACACTTCTCCTCTGTCCATTTGTATGTCTGGTATTCATGCCCTTTTCTCCTTTATTAAACCAGAAAAAAGACTTACTGAGATAGAAATTTTAAACTACACAAAACAACACAAAACAGAATGTCCAGTTAAGATGAGGAAGAGACATTTTTTAAATATGTACTGGCTGTGCGTGATCACACCAGGGCCCACACATTTGTGGCATGTTGAGCATCAAACCTCACCTAGAAGCAATTTACTGTGACTAGGCTGTGTGGTCATCGCAAGCTGCCCTGAATGTTTACTGAATGCAGCCTGAAATCATAAAGCCTCAGCTTACAAGGCTGAACCGCTGTAAAACTACTAGCAGACAAGCAGCTGTTCTGATGTTCTTGATGTATGAAACCCATGAAATGAAAAAGGTATTTTCCTTGTTGGAGCCCTTTTTCTCTGACTATATTGTTCTGCTTCTTTTGTATATAGCATATTTATAAAACTTTACTGCTCTTTTGTGATGTCAAGCCCTCTAGGAAATTCAAGCAGATTTCAGGATATAGGAAAAGGTCATGGGAAAGTTGTGTGACCCTGCATGCCTAGTGTCCATGTCCATTTGCCACTGCCTACTTTAGGACTGCAAGACTCTTTTTTTCATTTCAAACTTGTAGTCTTCACCTCTCCAGTCAATGTTTTTTTCACACGCTGTATGCAGTAGCACTCCCCAAGACCTGTAAATAGACATTGAAAATCAGCATTAATATATAAAAGGACGTTCTAGTAGACAGTGTTGCAAAAGGACACCTGCGCAAAAACAGACACAATCACACAACCACACATGCTAAAAATGCTGGGTTTCAGGTTCTGCTTTGCAGTCATTACACAATACAGGACTTCAGATGCTCTGTTTTGATGTCAAATCCTAGTAAATACCAGGATCACAATACCTGGGCCTCTACAACATCGACTGATTTGATGAAATGAAAAAACTGTGACTAAACCCACAATAATGTTTATTCTGTGTTGTTCAGTGAAGACTTTGTGACACAAATGTTTCACTTCAAATGAGTACATCTGCAGTGTGCATGCAACTGTGCATGTGTGTTTGTGTTTACATGTGTGTTTTCTTCCAGGTCAGGGCGCCCTGTCAGTTTCATGGTGGTCCTCAACACTCCCAGCCCCCTTAGTAAGATCTCTTGGGTAAACCGTCTGCACTTGGCCAAGATTGCACTACGTAAGTGCGCGCACACACACACACACACACACACGCATGCAAGCACTTTCTATCTTTCTCTCTCACACACACACACACACACACACACAAAGAAAGGATTACTATGTCATTTCTATTTAAACAGGATGATGTAATGCAATGAAATGTAATAACAATGTTTTAAGTCATAGGCTCAGACACATCATCAGTGTTTGATTCACTCTCTATTGGCTAAGTGTATAACTGGTGTTACGACATATATAATCAGAGAAAAACCAAGACTCTCAACTGGGTCATCTGAAGTTTATGTGCTGTGGAAAGAGGTAAATAACATCTCTTCTAAAATACCCTCTAGCTATTGTGCAAAGGACTTTGCATACTAGGCCTTGAAATTCGGGATATGTCATTGACTGTGGAGAAAGAGCAGTGGTCAACATTTGGGAAGGAAAATAATGGCCAGACCGTGCCCAGCAGGGAGCAGCACAGTTCTTCTTTATCTTCCTAACCTCTTTTCTCCAACCCTTGCCTTACTCTGCCCAGGCCTAAGCTGGCTATGCAGTCTTACCACGCAGTAGTATAGGAGGTCTTCCTCTCTGGGGTTCATCAATGCATGTTGTCATCCAGTGAAGTGGAGACGGAACTACAGAGGACATTAATCTGCTTATTTGGCCATGATGGCACACACATATTCAACCCACTCACCACCCCAGTCCTTTCCCCCTTCCTTTACTACTCCCTGCGTCGCCTTGAGCGCTCTTCCTTGTCACACACACTTTATTCTGAGGTTGTTATGCATGCAGTATGTCTCTCAGCACTGCACTTGTGGGTAGCTCCAATCGTATTGTTATGGCTTCTCACATGCCAGAGGCCATTGCTGTTAGCGTCAGCGCAGAAACATTCAAGGTTTCAGAGAAAGTTTTTGGAGGTAGGTCAAAGGACACTCAATGGAATGTCTTGCTTAGATGACTGGCCAGTGGACCGCCTTGATAGCCGACTGGTTATAGCACATGCCATGTTCAGTTCCAGCCAGTGACCTTTGTTGAATATCATACCCGTCTCTCTCACTGCTTCCTTTCTACTTCTTTACCTGTTACCATAAAAAAAAAAACAAACCTTTTAAGAAAGATCAGTGGCCAGATATTGTCAATGTTTTTGATACCCAAGCATAGCCCTGAAACGGTTAATGACACTTTGGTTGGGCAAAAGTCAAGAGGAAGCCTGACCTGTTTTGTGCTTTACAGAGGTTTTCCTGAGACTTTGCTTCCCCTGCATCTTGAGATTCTTCCTTGCACATTACAATACAAAAATAATACACAACCCTGGATATTTCTCCTGTACTGCTGGCCAAACTCTTACAGTGAGGGTATAGAGGTGCATGAAGCATACAGTACATCTGTAGACTCTCCAGTAGAGCTTGCTGTATATGGTTTGTGTCAGAGTGGCATCAAAAACATCAGGCTGAACGCAGAGGATGCTGTGGCTGCACTGATGCGCAGCATACCCAGCCTTTTCTTGTTGCTCACACCTTTATCAGCAACACAACAGGCGATGATGAGGACAGTGGTACAGTGGTGTATCCCCAGTCGCTACTGTGTGGTGATATTCAAAGCCAAATCATGCAAGTTATGCATAGCTGTCATATGGGTGAGGAGCCCCATGTTTATTATTTTATAATGTTTATAGAGACCATCAAAATCAAGAATGACTTGGGGAAGATAAAATGAACAATTTTTTTGGCCTTCACTAGGAAAAAAAACCCTCTCTTTTAGCACACCCTGAAGACCATGAAGATAAGGGATTAAATGCTCTCAATATGTAAGCATTGAACATTGTTTTCACTCTCATATTGATTGACTCTTAATTGTATGACTGTCAGCAACAATCTTTCTTTTTCATGCCATCCTACTACTTTGTAGCCTCAAGCTCTTGTCACAGACATGATACTCCTGTATATTAGGATAAGCGTGAAATCTTTGCCTTTCTTCGACTTCGAAAAGTTTCAGTTCAGTTGACTGATCAGAGGAAACTGACACATCTAAGGTTGTAAGGTTTTAGGCCTTTAGCCAACACTACTATCCAGGGCAAGTTACCATGAGAACAACAGTAAAATAAGGTTTGATTCCTCCATCACCAATATGACAAGCAACCAAGTGTAAGGAGAACAAGCTTCGAGGTGCAAAGAAAAGTGAGCAGAGGAAGACATTAAATAAAATAAGAACTAGAGAGAAATACAGAAAAGGAGTTTTAGGGCAAGTGGAGTAAAGGGGGAGGGGATACATTACAGAGAATCTGCAGTCAAGACATCAAACAATGAGACGATTTATATATATCAAGCTCAAGACACAGATTTGGGCAGTGTGGCTGCAGAGAGAATAAAGACCATCTTTCAACCAGAAGACATGTTTTTCTCAGATACTGATCCACTCATCTTTCGTTAAAATGATTGACAGCATGTATTTAAACTTGAGTTTGATTTTAGAATGTTTCCTTTACAGCTGAATTATCTGGAAACATTCACATTAAGTTAAACTTTATTGTGTTTTAGAGTAAGATCATATATTTACAAGCAAAGATTGTGGAAAAAAAGTTGTTGGCTGAAAATGTTAATTTTCATCCAAGGTCTTTTCACTTTTACCGTCCTCTGGAAAGGCTTATATATATATATATATATATATATGAATAGTCGACAGCCCACACACCGTCAATCCTCTACATCTGCAATCTCATGTAGCCTCACAAACTGAGGTTAATGGAAAGCTAATCATTATGAGCTAATAAGAGCAGGTCATATACACAAAAATAGCAGCTTGGCTGATGACCTGCCTGTATAAAGTTCATCTTTCTGTTCATTTTTTATAGCTCCTTGTGCTCCTTGGACTAGGGGGTGATTGTGTTAAGACAAGGTATGCTAGAATTCAGGAGCAGACACAGAGGCAAGGTTAGAATCAGACAGGGGTTTTATTGAACAAAAAGTGAATGGTGCTTTGAAGTGATCCGAAGGGCAGAGGCTGAGAGCAGGTAGACAGGTGAGTGGCTGATCCAACAAACAGGCTGGCAGGCTGGGCTTCCAGGGCAGAAGCGGTGACCTGAGACACAAGCAAGAAAACACTCAATGTCAGAAAGGAATCTAGACAAGAGGTTCAAAAAGAGCAAACTTGAATAAATACTTAAGCTGGCCGTAACATGGATGAACGGACAGTCTGGCAGAGACTGGTTGTAGAGCCGTGGTTTAAGACAGGAGAGGTTGATTAATGGAACTCACTGCAGGTGAGTAGGAAGCCACAGGTAGTCTGATGAGAAGCAGGGAGAGAGAGAACTGATGTTTGTTTGTGAAGTGTGCACACAATTGAACCCTCAGCAGTGCCCTTGGTACCTATAATAACATAGGCAACATTTTTCTATATACATAACTGTATATAGCCTATTTTTTTAATAAATATAATTTATTTTAAATGTTACCATATTTTATACACATTTAATTATTATCTGTTAAGTTCTGTGTGTATAGCATGAAGTGACTACAAACTTCCGTTTAGTTATACAACCTTGTGTTGTAGGCCTATAATGACAAACAATCAACCTTATGACATTTCTACATCAATTTCTATGTAGAACAGGTTTTACAATATATGATAGTATGTATACTTTTAATAAATACATGCAAATATGCTTTATGTTGCCTTTTAAGTTGTGGTTTACCATTTACAATGCATGCGTCCATGGGCACTGCCATGTTGTGTGACATCATTCATCATTTTGTTCTCTGAGTTTAAGTAGGAACTCCGACTTCAAGTGGCGTTCCACCGTACTTTTTCTAGTTGGAGGTCGGAAATGTCCGAACACAGCATGCTTGGAACACAGCATGAGATAGCGAGCCAAACCATGATTGATTGACCCTATATGACTGTGAATGTAAATGCAAATGTAAACTATTAACTCAAATGAATAACAGATTATAATAAATTGATATTCAGTAAGTATTTATTTTTGCCATAATACACTATGCACCAAAGTGTAATATACAAATTTAATTCATAGTTATTCAGCAGCATTTTAGTCTTAAAACCCTGTACTCATGTTGTGTGAAGTCGTATAAGGTTTTTATGATATTTAGTGCATATTTATATTTATATAATTCATGTTGTAAAAGAGCTTTAATTAAGATTAGAGTCAGGGTTAGAATACTTTAAGAAAACTGCATATTAGATTTGTGATATTAAAAATTGTTTTATGTGTATAAAATCTGCTGCAGAAAGGTTACAGTTATAGATTACAGACACAATTTAAATGAATGATTGTATAGTTGAACTTAAATGTAATAAGTTTGTTCTGTTTGTCAGTATATAGTTCTGTAATATTCAGTCAGAAAGAACTATGTAATTCCAAGGTATTTGCTGCAGCATCTACACCACATATGATACTTACTTGCTCATGACCACACACAGCAGCGCTGTGACACACTCATACTCATCAAATCATTCATTTAAAAACAAATGGTAGAGATGAGGGCGGGGTGATGGATTTCATTGAATCCCTTGGGGAAATAGATCTGCACCAACCTGGTCAGGATGACAATTACGTGTTAATTGTATTACACCCACACTTTGCCCATTTAACTAAATGTAATTACAATAAGCGAGTTGTTGATTTAATTTCACGGATGGTGTACTGTCACCGAGACTTCCTCGTCATGGCAGGCGGAGGCAGGACTGCCCTGTGCTCAGGGGAGACCTACAGTTGAATCAGCATTTCAAATGCACCGAACCATGGTCTTGTTTAGTTTGAAATGGGTGCCGTGCTCCGAAATGTCCCTGAATGGTGGACAACACAAATAGCTAATGTTTTCATGCATGATTTAGTGAGTGATTAGACATCACAAAACCCATTTTCCCAAACCCATCTTCACATCAGTGTTTATCCCGTTACCTCCATTTTGAGAAAACACAACATTATCCCACTGCTGTACTATGTAGCCTTCACTGTGCCACATGCGTGAGTATTGGTGGCATTTCTGCACACTG